TGTCCCCCCTCCCTCCCTCCCCAATCTGAGATCAAGTGTGTTCAGTATTTTTTTTTAAACCCTAGGAGCAAGCCAAAGACACAGCCAGAACAAGCCCTGAGAATAGACCAGCCCCACTCCTCCCCCAGACTGTCCCCCCTCCCTCCCTCCCCAATCTGAGATCAAGTGTGTTCAGTATTTTTTTTTAAACCCTAGGAGCAAGCCAAAGACACAGCCAGAACAAGCCCTGAGAATACCCCAGTGAGGACAGCCTAGGGCAGGCCCTAGAAAGAAACTTTTGGGTTTCAGGCTGACAATAAAAAGGCTTGATCCCGTGAGCAAGGAAACATGGGCTATGTCTACACCGGAGGCTTCTTGCGCAAGAACTTTGTGCAGAGCACGTCCACGCTTCTGTGCGCTTTTGCGCAAGAGCGCCCATGGCAGTGTGGACCCTCTCTTATGCCAGAAAGCTCCGATGGCCATTTTAGCCATAGCTGTTCCCGTCCACACTAGCCTTTTTGTGCAAGAGCTCTTGCGCAAAAAGGCTTATTCCTCGTGGGGAGAGGAATAACTCTTGTGCAAAAAGCCTTCTCTTCTGACGATCTACTGGAAACTTTCTGGCGCAAGAACAGGCTTGGTGTGTGGACGCTTTGCAAGGTTTTGTGCAAGAACGGTTGTTCTTCCGCAGGAAGTCTGCAGTGTAGACACAGCTCTACTGTTTGATTCCTCCTGTGGTCAAGGAAACAGGGCTTTGTATGTTCTTTGTAAATAAGTAGGAATGTGACAAAGAAATACCTGACTCTATTGTCCATTTCCCCCCCAGCTAAACAGCATGCTAACCTCTGAATTTTGGCTAACCTCTTGGGTAGAAGAGGGGTAACATATCTTTTCTCCCATCTAAGGGCTGTTTTTCAGGGCAGGTCTTTTACTATGTGTACATACAGGGCCTAGCACAATGTGGGGGCCCTAAATTTGGTTGGGCCCCCTCGTTGCTGCGGTCATACAAATAAATAATAGTTTCTGCAGAAGAAAATGGAGTTAGTCCTGATTTACACCTCTGAGGAAAGGAGGAGAAAATCAGGAATGTGGGGGGTCATAGAATCATAGAATTCGAGAGTTGGCAGAGACCTCAGGAGTCAGAGTCCAGCCCGCTGCCCAACCCCAATGAAATCATCCCAGCCAGAGCTTTGCTAAGCCGGGACTTAAAAACCTCTAGGGATGGAGATGCCCGCTGTCGCTTACAAATGAAACGCTAATCCTTGGCATACTCAGTGGCAGATGCCACATTAGCCAGTAGTGCCAAGGCTTGAACTTGTAAAAAAAAAAATCGATTTGATTTCTCTGCTCTGAGCGGACTTTGAAGGTTTTGAAGACTCAGGAGATCATTTGGCCAAGAGAGGTCTGAGCAGCAGATCTTCTGATGCATTCCTCGCGGATGGGAAATCGAATAATTGTGGGGTTAAAAATGTATATGCATAGCTTACTGCCACGAGTTACTAAACATGGGGGAAATGCGACTTGGGCTCATTAAGTGGAAGGCCTCATCAAATCCGCAGAGCCATTGCATGACAAGCCAGCTGCTTCTCCTGTTTGCTTTGGCTGAAGAGCGCTGAAAACATTTCACACCACTTGATGAGTATAATTACACCCTTCATTTGGGAGAGAAAGAACCTATGACTAATGCTTCCTTCAGCTGTGGACTCCATCTTCCAAGACAGGTGGAGGAGGGGCCCAGTCTGGACCGCCCACGAGTGGGGAGATTGGCACAGCCCCTCCAGGAGCGAGAGGGCATGCACCCCTCGTCTGGTTGCATGTCACATAGAGGAACACTTTCGCAGGACGGTAACCCTACCCTGCAGCGCACCAGAGACAGGCAGATTTGGAGCTCATCAGTTACGTGTCTGGCTTTCTCCGGCGTCCACTCATTCCTCCAGCTGGCGGATTCCCAGAACAGACAGCCATGTCATCAGTTGACCTTCCCTGGCAGCCAGCTGGCTGGCCTGTCCTTCCTGGGAGTCTCACGCCCTGCAAGCCATTTATTATCTTTTGAGCAACTTGGGCCAGGCTGGCGGAGGTGTTAGGATCAGCAGCGACACTCTCTTAGTGAGAACCCTGGCTTTTTGGTGGTGCCTGGCTCTTTTTCTCACTGCTATCCCTGGCTGGAGGGTGTGGGGTCAGTCCAGTCCATGCAAACAAACGGTGTCTTTCACTTGACTCCAGGCACGTCCCTACTTTGGTGAGTGCTAGCCTCGTGGCTGGGGAAACTGAGGTGATGTCTACCCTGCCGGGTTTTTTCAGCAGAAGATATGCAAATCGTGCTCTCATTTGCATATCTTCTGCTGATTCTTTTTGTGGAAGAGGTTTTGCTGCTAAAAAGCTCCGTGTAGATGGACCCTTTGGTGCAAGATTCCTTATTCCTCAAATGAGGCCACACCTGGAGTTTTGCGTCCAATTCTGGGCCCCCCACTGTAGAAAGGATGTGGACGTATTGGAGAGGGTCCAGCGGACGGTGACCAAAATGATTAGGGGCTGGAGCATATGACCTACGAGGAGAGACTGAGGGATCTGGGTTTGTTTAGTCTGCAGAAGAGAAGAGTGAGGGGGGATTTGATAGCAGCCTTCAACTGCCTGAAGGGGAGTTCAAAAGAGGCTGGAGAGAGGCTGTTCTCAGTAGTGATGGATGGCAGAATGAGGAGCGATGGTCTCAAGTTGCAGTGGGAGAGGTCTAGGTTGGATATTAGGAAAAACTATTTCCCTAGGCGGGTGGGAACCACTGGGATGGGTTCCCTAGGGAGATGATGGAATCTCCATCCCTAGAGGTGTTTAAGTCCCAGCTTGACAAATCCCTGGCTGGGATGACTGAGTTGGGATTGGTCCTGCCTTGGGCAGGGGGCTGGACTTGATGACCTCCTGAGGTCTCTTCCAGCCCTAGGATTCTAAGATATGCAAATAAGAGAGCGATTTGCATATCTTCTGCCGAACCCCCCCCTGGCAGTGTAGACCTGATCGACTTGCCCTATGGTACAGAGTGCATCAGTGGCAGGTCCAGGCATAGCACTGGGCCAGTAGTAACTGAGTCCCCGCTCTGCTTTCCTGATTTGGTCCTTTTGCCTGGGGATTCTGGGTTCGAAGGGAGCTGGATGCCCGAGTGAAGCAAAGGCTGTTTGTCTGGAGTTGGTCACATTGGCTCTGGTTCCACAGAGGGGCAGCTTCTTCCTGTGCTAAAGGACTGACGCCATGGGAATCTCACAGGGTCACCAGCCCCATGCCAGACTAATCCTGCACAGGGAACAATCTGCCCCCAGCATCCCAGCTAAGAGCTGTTCAATTTAACTTCCTCCCATCAAACCAGCAGCTGCTGCCTCTGTTGGGTGAGCCATGTACCATTAATGGCGAGGAGTCCTATAATAATAATAATAATGGAGATTGCCTATCTCCTAAAACTGGAAGGGACCTTGAAAGGTCATTGAGTCCAGTCCCCTGCCTTCTCAGCAGGACCAAGTACCATCCCTGATGAATTTTTACCCCAAATTGGCCTTTGCGAGGATTGAACTCACAACCCTGGGTTTAGCAGGCCAATGCTCAAACCACTGATCTATCCCTCCCCCCTTGTAGACTAAGGTGCCACAGGACTCCTCGCCACTTTTGCAGATTCAGACTAACACGGCTCCCCCTCTGATACTAGACACCATGTACCATTGTTAATTGTCCCCACCTTGTTCTGCCCTGAAAAAGGACAGAATCCCCGTTTCCGTGGCTAGCAGGTGAATTTCCCGCTCAGTGCGATATGTATTTGGCAGTGTGGGGGCTTGTTCCTGAACGATGCCAGGCCACTAAGGGCACGGGGAGTTGGAGGCCCGCAGCCCCGCTCAGGATTGGATCCCGAGCGCTGTCTCTCCATGGATCTCAAAGCACTTTACAATCACTGGTGAGAGCAAGCCTCTGTACAGCTCTGAGTGCCACTTTGCAAATGGGGAAACTGAGGCACAGAAGCACGTGTCTGGGGGTCTCATAGTGTGTAAGAAATGACACCCAACTCCCTACATGTGTCTGACTGAGGCACCCGCGTGCGTGTTGCTGATGGGAGAGGGTCCCACCTCCACGGGACAATCAAACGTACACTGACGACTTTGTGACTAACGCAGCTCATTTGAACTTTGCTTTATAGCTGGGCCGGATTTGGTTCTGTGGGCTCAGCTTTCATTCTCTCCCCACAGATAGACATTTAATTACGCTGTCTCCTGCCTACGGCCCAGTCCCCAACAATCTCCCCGTGCTTGGGATTTCGGAGGGGAGGGGAGCAGGAAGCAGCCACCTAAGTCTTCCTGGTGCATCTGCCCTCTGATCCTTTGCTCTCCTTTGCTCTCCTGAGTACTAGCCTGGAAAGGGCGGCCTCTTGTCCAAATGCATCCTGCTATTTACAAGAGGGCTTTTGCATGGGCGCTGCCCCCACTGAACGAACACTGTGTTGTCTAACCATCTGTGTTGCTTTGCGCATTCTTGGGTACCACCCGTCTCCTTCAGCTGGCTGCTCTGCATGCCACTGAAGCCTGCCCTAGATCGGGGGATTGTGTGCTCACCTCCGCAGCTTTTCTGTGTCGCAGGATGCTGAACTCACAATAAAACAGTAGAAGCGATAACGTTTGTATGTGCACTCCAGGCTCCCCAGCGGTCTGGTTTTGGGCACTGTGCTCAGTCGGTAAGACACTTGGCACGTTTGATGCATCTTCTAGTAGGCAGAGTCCAGATTCTGCAGATCATTTACACCAGCGAGAGGTGTGACCGCATCGGAATGGACACTCCCGAGTTTTAGGCCCACTCTGTATCCGCGTGGCTGGCTGCCCGAGGTGCGCACGAGGCTGCTAAAAGCTGCACTTTAGACACATTAGAATAGACACCGACCTGCAGAAATGCTGGCTGGAGAGATGCATGGAACACGGGGCAGTTTTGCTCGTCGAGCTGTCTTGTCCCTGGGCTTCTTGGGACCATGACCAACCCTGCGTGCCCCGCAATGCAAACTGCAGTTATACACTTGTGCCCTTCCACCAGGGCAGTGCGGCCTCACGGCCAGGGTCTCTAAGGAACACCCCTCTCACCAGGACAGTGCACCCCAACAGCTGGAGTCTCTGGGAAACGTCCCTTTCACCAGGGCAGTGTGACCTCACAGTCAGTCTCTAAGGAATGCACCTTTCCCCAGGGCAGTGCGGCCTAGCAGCTGGAGTCTCTGGGAATCTCCCTGCTCACAGGGCAGTGTGGCCTAGCAGCTGGAGTCAGTAGTAAACAGGGGCTGGCTCCTTGGCTCGGGGAGGTGGTAGGGGGACCTGGATCCTCCCTACTCCACCAGGTCCCAGCCCAGGGCCCTATTAGCAGCGGCACAATCCATGGCTCTCTCTCAGCGGGGAATCCCACTGCAACACGCTAAGAGCTACAGGCCATGATAGCCTGCCCCGGGTTACATCCTACCCGTCTCCACTGGCCTCCTTCCAGGATCCTTCCTTCAGATCCTCTGCTGTAGCATCGGGGTCTCACTGGCTGAGCTCCAGGACAGGTCCCTCTGAGGGTTCTTCTGCAGGAGCTCTGGCAGCTCCTCCTTCCTCTTGAACAGCCAGCCCAGACTGGCCTCTCCAGGCTTTTATACCTGGGCAGCAGTCTGAGCATGCCCGGTAGGGCTGCAAGGGCGGGGCTTCTTCAGGCAGGTGAGCCTGGCCAAGGCCAACTTTCCCAGGGAGGGGCTGGTCCATCCCGTCACAGATGGTCACATGAGGCTGGGTTCAGAGAAGGCCCTAGTAAACTGTGAGCCCTGGTCTACACTAGGACCTTAGTCTGAAATAACCCCCCAAGTTCGAATTAGTAAGTGGTGCATCACACTACCAAGCCCGTTCTTCCGGAATAAGGGGCCACGGAATTCAAACTCTCCTCCTGCTTTTCATCAGGAATAATGCTAATTCTGAACCTATATGTTCGAAATAACGTTTGTGTGGATGCTCCGGTGCTGCTCATTCAGAAGCGGGATTCCGGGATAAACCTTTAGTTCGAATTAACTGTTACTCCTCGTGGAATGAGGTTTAACAGTTAATTCGAAGTAAGGGGTTTATCTCTGAATGCTGCTTCTCTGCTGCATATAGATGCGGGCAGTTGCTTTGGGCTAGTCAGTTTCCAAAATGGTGACCAGCCGGGATTATGCTAATCAAGGGCGGGACATTTAAATCCCGCGCTTTGTTAGCAACTTCGATCGCCCTCATTAGCCTCCCTAGTTCGAACTAGGGAGCTAGTGTAGATGTACCCTAGGGCTGTGTCTAGACTGGCAAGTATTTCTGCAAAAGCAGCTGCTTTTGCAGAAAACTTGCCAGCTGTCTACACTGGCTGCTTGAATTTCCGCAAGAGCACTGACTTTGTAATGTACAAAATCAGTGCTTCTTGCGGAAATACTATGCTGCTCCCGTTTGGGCAAAAGTCCCTTTTGCGCAAAAGGACCAGTGTAGACAGCTCAGATTTGTTTTGCGCAAAAAAGCCCCGATCGCGAAAATGGCAATTGGGGCTTTTTTGCGCAAAAGCGCGTCTAGATTGGCACGGACGATTTTCATCAAAAGTGCTTTTGCGGAAAAGCGTCCGTGCCAATCTAGACGCTCTTTTCCACAAATGCTTTTAATGGAAAAACTTTTCCATTAAAAGCATTTGCAGAAAATCATGCCAGTCTAGACGTAGCCTAGGTGTCTAATTCCCTTTGAGGAATGGGGTCCTGGTTATATGTAGGGCTCTCTGGCTACATCTAGACTGCAGGCTTCTTTTGGAAGCTTTTTTTGGAAGAGAACTTCTGAAAAAACTTCTTGTGCACGAGAGCATCCACACAGCAAAAGTGCATTGAAAAAGCGATCTGCTTTTTCGAAAGAGAGTGTCCAGACTGAATGGACGCTCTCTCGCATGTAAGCTGTGATTACTATGGATGGAATGGCCCTGTGCTTTTTCCTCTTTCCTCTTCTTCCGAAAGAACTCCCTCTTCCCCGTCTACACACGCCTTTTGGTGAAAGACCTCTTTTGCACAAAGGCTTCTTCCTCATAGAATAAGGATTACCAATATCGGAACCCCCCCCCCTTCGATTTTCTTGTGGAAGAATGCGATTGCAGTGTGGACGGTCCTTAAATTTTGTCGGAAAAAATGGTCATTTTTCCAACAAAGCTCTGTAGCGTAGACATACCCTCAGGGAGGAGGGATCTGGCTGAAATTCAATCTGCAGCTCCGCTTACTAAGCACAAATGCTACAAAGAAATTAAATGGCAATCAAAGGCTGGATAAGCCAGGCTCTGGTTCTTTATACCTGGGACTATTTCTTTAGTGTCCAGACTGCAAAAAAGGACCAGTTTTCTTCCCTTTGGGGCAAAATGTCATCCAGCCAAGATGATGGACCCTCTCTCTGCAGCTCTGGAGAGCCCCCGCCTCTAAGTACTGTATCCTGCTCTGTACCTCAGGGCCAATAGGTAAAAACGTGCCGGGGAAGTATAAACAAGAGCCACATGATGAAGAAAGGTTGTAGGACTGATTGATTTATAAGGAAAGATTTATGCCGGGTCTGGGTGATGCACAAACGTAATGATCTCCGCTGAGGCATGTAAATACTACAAAGAAAATATTTAAGGTGTGCAGAGAGGCACAACTGGGCATAAAGGGATGAAATTAAGAAAGGGAAAACTAGGCTGACAAGAGGGGAACATCTTGCAGGCAACGGGATCTATGGAGGAATCTCTCAAGGAAAATGATGGAAGCCACGTAGTGTATTGTGGACTGCGTTGGAATTGCAAGGTATCACTTTAAGAGAGAAGGCGAGGGTCCTAGACCTGCTTGCTAGTGCAGTGTTTCTCAACCAATGGTACGAGTTCCCTTAGGGGTACTCGAGAGAAGTCTGGGGGGGTACGTCAACACGACAGAAATTTGGAGAAAACTGCATTTTTTTGAAGTTTTACAGCTCTGTTATTTTTGTACTTTTTACACCCCAAAAATGTCATTGCCTGCCCAGCTACGATTAAGATGTTTAAACAAATGTGTTGCAATGGTAGAAAAAAGATTGTGTGTCTGAAAACTGTAGGTATGGGGGGCACTTATAATTATAATTTATACTGAAACTTTTTTTTTTTTGAAAAAGGGGTACTTTATATAAAAAGGTTGAGAAACACTGTGCTAGAGGGTTCCATAGGGAAATATGCGAGGTGTGTCTAATGGCAGCCATTCTCCAGCCAGCAAGGTGGGGTGAGTTGTGCCTTGCTGCTTTAGGGAGCATCTGGCTTTGTCTGTCTCAGCCTTGTGCGTTCTTGTGTGTTATGCTGATTTCTCAGAAATGCAGTTGTGTTACAATGCTCCTGCTGGAAGGTTGCAGTGTATGTTTGTGCCGAACGTCTCGGTTTGTGTGCTGTGAAATGTACCAGGCAGATCAGAACTCGCACCTGTCGGCGGCTGAAGTCTTGGCTGCTGCCTCTCATGCAGAACGCACACGGAGAACCGTGCAATGCAGAGAATGAGTGCCGCAAGGGTGTGGTTGCTTAAAGAGAAGTCCAGCAGATTTCCACGCGTTTTCCACTTTATTATCATGATCACAAATCACTGCCACCAGATGGCTTTTGTTACCATGGTCTCTATGGTATAATGCCCCTGATCAGTTCAGCCTCCAGCTGCCATGACCTCCAAAGGCTTGAGAAAGCCCAGGATGGACTGGGCTGGGAGCTGCAGCATGCAAACTAGAATGGCACTTGGCTGGAAGACTTTCCCCCTAATGGGCGAAACACATCACACACAGGGCTGCCAAAGCACGGCACTGAGACTCCGTACCCAAGTTCTAGAGAGTCATTTGACCAACCTCAAGCAAGCAGCCAACCCACAAAAAACGGAACCTGCAAGGGAGCTCCGAGTGCAGGACTCTCCACCCGCAGGGGGCTAGGGGTCCACATGCCACCACTTGAAGGAGAAGGGCTTGCGATGGACATTGGTGCCACAATGGACCTCCCCCAGCATCTTATGGTAGGAGGAAATGTCGTCAATGAAGCTGCACATCAGCCCGAGGGGCTCGAGCAGAGAGCGGACATGGACTTCCAAGCAGCAGTCTCCATCGATGACCGGCCCGAATGGCTTCGGGATTCCCAGGTCTCTGGAGAGGACAATCATGTTCACCTGCGCAGCGAGGGAGGAGATCCCGGGTTATTGCGTTTCAGGGAAGCCCACGAGCGGAGTACTGAGTGTGTGTTGGCTTAAACATCACCTTAACATACAGAATAAAAAAGGCTAGTGGCCGAGATAGGACCCAAAGGTGGCTCCGACATCTTGTGTCTCTCAGTGGCTTCCCTGGTAAACTGCGGGTCAGAACAAACCCCCACGCAGCACATTACTCACGTGCTTTGGAGCCTGCATTGCTTCTAATTGGCCTCTGGCTGCAATTCAAGGGGCCAATGGGAGGTGGGTGGGAAATGGGGATCCTACTGTGACCATTCTTACGATTTTACGTTTTTTCCTGTTCAGCATCAGGATGAAGCGGTGACTTTTGGAAGCGTTTTGCAAAAAAATGGGAGCGACCAGACTAGCCTGATAGTGAAGGCACTTGTGGGAGAAGTCCCCGTTCTAACCTGCTGGCTATTCTGCTTGCTCAGGTGTGGACCAGAAATTCCATTCTGCACGTGAGAAGCATTTTCTAGTGGAAGGGTGGCCGAAATGGATACATTCCCACAAACAATTTTGGTTTCAACAAAGGGATGGATGGACTTCATCAATTTCATCAGCAAATCCCCCACCAGATATCGGTCTAGCACAATAGTTCTCAAAGATTTTGGCCCGCAGCCCACCCCCTTCAATGCAAACCTTTCCACAGACCACCAGCCAACCACCCATGATGACAAAATGGGTGCAGAAGGGAATGGGGGTGTGAGGTTTGGGTCAGAGGTAGGGTGCAGGAGTGGGTTGGGGTGGAGAGTCTCAGTAGGAAAGGTGCATGTGATGGGGATGGGGTGCTTACCTGGTTTTGTGCCCCTTGCTACCTCCAGGCACCGCCCCTTGCTGCTCCCATTGGCTGGGATTCCAGCCAATGGAAGCAGCAGGAAAAAGCTTCCGGTGAGTGGTTCCCTGCACTGCCATTCCTCCAGCCACAGGGGTAGCGGAAGGGGAAGCGGCAGTGGCAGCACATGGAGCTGCTTCCGCCCCTTGTGAGCCGGGTCTGGCCTGTGAGGCTGAAGGCTTCCACCCTCCCCCAAGCAGGAAGCTGCAGGGGGGCAGGGCTGGAGCGCCAATGCAGGCTCCCCACTGTGGTGGGGGGGAGTCCTGAACCTGCAGCCCACCTGAAAGATGGTCGTGGACTGCTAGTGGTCTGCTGACCACACGTTGAGAGCCACTGATCTGGCACAACAACGGCTCTTTATCCCACAGATGCTGTAACTTTTATTCTATCCCTTCCTTTGCGCTTCACCCTGACCATGGCTCAACTGAGCTACCCAAGTTGGCTTTGAACTAGGGATGTTAAATATCGAGTAATTGACTAATCAAAGAGTCGATTAGTCGACAGGGTGCCTCCGCCTCTGAAGAGTAGCAACAGCCCTAGGGTTGTGCTACACTTCAAAGGCGAAAGCGCCACGTGGAGCCCGTGGTCAGCTGGGGACTCCCCTCTTGATCCCAGGCTCCACGTGGTGCTGCCGCTTTGAAATGCTGCGTGCAGCCCGGGGGGACCCCAGCCGGCCCTAGGCTGCATGTGGCATTTCAAAGTGGCAGCACTGTGTGGAGCCCAGGGTCTGGCCCCAGGCTGCACGTGGCACTGACACTTTTAAGTACCCCCTCCTTTCGCCTCCCCTTGCTGCCTCTTTCTAATAGTGGCCGTAAGGGGGGTGGGAAGCGACTAGTCGACTAGCCTGTCAACTATTCGATAAGCATTTGCTTTGATAGTTGACTAGCCATTCACATCCACAGTTTGAACATCTGAGTGCTTAAAGCAAAGTGTTCTTAACTGCAGGCTCTGAACGCTGGGATTTGCTTCCCTTTCCTTGGGCTGCAAAACCCGATGTTTGCTGAGATTGTGGGTGAGGTGCCAGGACAGTCCATTTATTTAGGCCTAATTTAAAAAAAAATCACTATATTTTGGGTGTCCCGTAGGAGACACCTCGGGGCCAAAGTTTTCTATCCATGTGTGGAATAAATTTTGTTATGTGCACTGAGGCATGTGAACATGTGCACCACCAGCAAAAACACATGCTGCTGGCTCTGGGCGCTCTGCTAATCAGCTGGGTGGCATTTGAATCTCTCCTGGGTAGCCATCTAAGTGCTCAGCTTACAGGGAACACAGCTTGGGGCCCCATTTGCAGAATGGCTGAGCATCTGTGACTCCTCAGGAAATCAGTGGAGATGCAGTTGCTTAGCAGCTCTGAAAATCAGATCCACCGAGTCCCAAATTGGTCACCCAGAAACATCAACCCTAAACTTAATTCTCAGGAGCAGAGACATTTGGGCTGTGTCTACACTGGCAAGTTTTTCCGGAAAATCAGCCGCTTTTCCGGAAAAACTTGCCAGCTGTCTACACTGGCCGCTTGAATTTCCGGAAAATCTGGAAAAATTATGCTGCTCCCATTCGGGCAAAAGTCTTTTTCCGGAAAACTGTTCCAGAAAAGGGCCACTGTAGACAGCACAGTAGTGTTTTCCACAAAAAAGCCCCGATCGCGAAAATGACGATCGGGGCTTTTTTGCAGAAAAGCGCATCTACATTGGCCACGGACACTTTTCCGCAAAAAGTGTTTTCCGGAAAAGCGTCCTGCCAATCTAGACGTGCTTTTCCGAAAATGCTTTTAACGGAAAACTTTTCCGTTAAAAGCATTTCCGGAAAATCATGCCAGTGTAGACGTAGCCTTAGGGTTTAGTGGTTCATTTCGGTGTTGACGGTGGACATTTTGCCTGTATTGTTGAATGTTCATGGTCTATGTGCCTACTACGATCATGACAGGCACCGTATTCCCATTGAAACCTAATGGGTAGGGCACCACACCAACCAGTCTCAGGGGATGGGCCTCACCATGTTGGGGAAATAGGCCATAGCTTTGCCCAGCTTGTCGATCTTGAAGAGCGCAGGGAGGTCGATGATGTCTTTGTCTGTCAGCCCCAGCTCCTTCTTGAGGATGTCTCGGTTCCAGTCAATGCAGCGCTGGACAGGAGGGTAAACATGTCATGGGATAGTCTAGCTGTACTTGGTCCTGCCTCAGCACAGAGGGATGGACTAGGTCAGTGGTACGAGTACAAAACTGAAATTTGGAGAAAACTGAATTTTTGTTTGAAGCTTTACAGCGCTTTATTATTTTTGTACTTTTTACACCCAAAAATCTCATCGCCCGTCTGGCTACAATTAAGTTGTTTAAACAAACGTGTTGCAGTGGTAGAAAAAATTGTGCGTGTCTGAAAATTTTAGGTACTGGGGGTACTTATAATTTTTTTTAAAGGGGGTACTTTATAAAAAAAAAAAAGTTGAGAAACACTGGACTAGGTGACCACTCGAGATCCCTGCTAGCTCTGTAATTCTGATAACCAGGTAATCCTGGCTCCTCCTGAAATCTGCTTGCTTCCCTCGCATGAGTAAGTTGCAGTTGCATTAGCAATGCAAACAATGAGGCTAATGTGAAAATGTTCAGGCAGCTGGCACACAGGATCACCAGACTTATCTTCATCCTCGACTCCGAAGCAGGGAGGGAGGCCCCTGAGAGAGCCTGGAAACGTATTGTCCAGGTCCCTCTTGGAGAGAGATGGGCAACCAGGAAGGTGGGCGGGCCCACTGGGGTTCCACCCCATGATTTCCTCTCTCCCCATTTCTACCACGCGCCTCTCGTGCACCAGGGCACTGGAGCCCTGCACTCTTCCGCTCCTCCCCTTACCTCCCAGTACTTCTGGGTTCGGTTCCCATTGCTCACCTTGCCTCCCGGAGTTGGAATGCTGCAAACAGCTGATTTGTGATGTTCCAGCTCTGGGAGAGGGAGGAGCGGGGATGGAGCGAAAATCAAGCCATTTGCGGCTCCTCCAAAAGTATTGGGAGGGAGGTGGGAGGAGCAGGAAGTGCGGGGCTCCGGTGTGCTGGTGTGCAAGAGGTGCGGGGGGGAGGGGAGCAGCCAGAGGGTCCACGGGCTGCAGGTGAATCCCTAGTGGACCGCATGTGGTTGCTCATCACTGCCCTTAGAGACCTGAAGATTTACTGATTCTACTCCCTTGTCCCACTGTTGATTCCTGGCATTTGAGGCCAGAAGGGATAATTATATCAGAGCAGAGCCCCGAGAATGAGTAAAGGATCGGAAAAGATGCCTTGTAGTGGTAGACTGAAAGGAGCTCGATTAATTTAGCTTGACAAAGAGAAGGTTAAGGCGTGACATGAGCTATGTGGGTACTTAAATGGGCAACAAATATTTAAGAACGGGTTCTCTAATTAGCGGAAAAAGATATAACCTGATCCACTGGCTGGGAATTGAAGCTAGACAGCTCAGACAGGAGCTAAGGTTTACATTTTTAATGGCAAGAACAAGTTTTCCAGGGTCATGATAGATCCTGTGTCACTCACAATTTTCAAAGCAAGATTGGATGTTCTTCTAAGCCAGGGGTCTCCAACCTTCTAAAGTACAAGATCACTTTTTGAACGTAAGTGCAATCCAGATTCTACCTCAGATCCAGATACCCTAATCCGCCTCCTTCATGCCTCTTCTCTGAGGCCCTGCTCACTCAGTCCTCCCTCCCCCTTTCTCTCTCCTTTTCCCTAGGGAGGGACAGAGGGTTGGGACACAGGCTCTGGTCTTGGGTTAAGGCAGGAGTTCTCAAACTGTGTGATACCACAACCCCCCTCTAAGATGCACACGACTCCCTGGAGGGTCGGGACCCACAGTTTGAGAAACACGGAATTAAGGGATTTGGAGTGATAGCAGGGCTCTGAGCTGAGCTTGGAGCAGGGAGTTGGGGTACAGGAGGAGGTTCAGGGTATAGGCTCTGTAAAGGAGTTTGGGTAAGGTTGCTAGATGGTTTAACAATAAATACCCCCCCCCCCCACAAAAAAAAAACACAGGGAAAAAATTCTGTTGAGGAAAAGAAAAAAGGGGGAGACCAAAGCTGTCGAGCAAAACCGAAACAATTATTCTTATTTTTTAAAAGGAGGAGGCTCTTTAAGACGGCTGCCATCTTGGGGGCCATTTTTAAAACCCCACAGCTCTGACCCGGTATGCACAGGGAAGCAGAAGCGGCTTCATGAGCCGCACTTTTGGGTTGGCCACGGCTGATATTTAGGGAGGCATCATGTGGCCAGCGTCCGGGTCTCTCCTGGTCATGTGGGCCAGAGCTCCCACCCCAGCCCAGCGCTCCTCTAGTGTGGTGCCCGACAAGTGCCCCCTTCCACCTCCCTTTGCTATGCCTCTGCCGCGCTCCTCACTCCCCTGCCCCTGCCAGACACGGCAGGGGAAAATTGTCCCCAGTGGGCTTCCATCCTTGGGAAACAGGAAATACTGGACATTTCACGTATCCGGTATTTCTTGGTTTTTTTTTTTTTTTTACCAGACAGAGCCCGCAAATACCGGACTGTCCAGGTGAATATTGGACACCTGGCAACCCTAGGTTTGGGTCCAGGGGGCTCAGGGCTGAGGCAGGGCCTTGGGGTGCAGGAGGGCGTTCATGACTAGGGCAGGGGTTTGGAGCTGGCTCCAGCTGACACTGCTGGAGGCTCCTGGGTGGTGGTGCAGTGGGGTAAGACAGACTCACCCCTGCCCTGGCCCTGCATCACTCCCAAAAGAAGCCAGAAAACTTCCTCCAAGCTCCATTGTGCCCCCCCCCCCCATTCTGTGGAGACAGAATACAGGGAGGGAGGGGGCACCCTGTCATCAGTGCTCCCTCCTCCCCCTCCCCCGGCCTGCACAGCAAGCAGGAGGCTCGCGGGGAGGGGCAGTTCCAAGGCAAAGGGCAGGAGATGTGCAGCAGTGGGGGGAAGGGGCAGCTGAAGAGCCAGCCCTTGACAGCCTCTTGGCCAAACCTGTCAGGATCACCTGTCAGAGGCTCCAAGATCTACCGGTAGATCCCGATCGACTGGTTGGTGACCACTGCTCTAAAACATCTGCTCTAGGAAATACATTGGGGAAGCTCTTTGACCTGTGTATATACAGGGGGTCAGACTAGTGGTCCTAATGGTCCATGCTTTTGAATCAATCACTCATCCATTCTGATCTCCTGTCTTTTGTAGAACATTCCGTTTCACCTGGCGTGGGAACCGCCCTCCAGAGTCCATACAATAGGAAGGGTTCCGTCCCTCAGTGCTCTCATTAGGGCAGTGTTTCCCAATTGTATTTGGCCTCTGAACCCTTTTAAACTCAAAAGAATTTTGCAGACCCCCTAATAACAGTGGGTATGTCTACACTACCCCGCTAGTTCGAACTAGGGTGGTAATGTAGGCATACCGCACTTGCAAATGAAGCCCGGGATTTGAATTTCCCGGGCTTCATTTGCATAAGCCGGCCGAACCCCACGTGGCTACACGCGGCACGGGCTAGATAGTTCGAACTAGCAAGCCATTCCGAACTATCTGTACACCTCGTTCGAACTAGGGTGGTAGTGTAGACATACCCAGTCTTATCTATGGAGCTGAAAAAGTAGACCACAAATAAATAAGGATAATAATAAAACAAGGTCATGACATAAGTATTATTGTTATGTATTGTGGCTACGTAGATTAATGGATCATAATCAATTTATATTTGTCACGGTTACATTTTTAAATACAAGAAATCACACAACTATACTGAAGTAACTCCCATACAAGCAACTGGTTTGATAGCTGAAACGTCGACTTTGTCCGACGCGGCACTAGTCTATTCGTATTCAGTCACCCACGGGATCCACGCTGCCTGAGAGTGAGGACGGGGATTGACGGTTGGATATCACAGGCGATCGCATCACTGACCGGCTGTGCGCACAGCGCTAAGTAGTGACATCATCGTCCCCCCTCTCTGACTAAGCCGGCCTTACACAGGGACACGTATCGTGGCAAACACACATGAAAATGGTTTTCAATAAAATTCATAAATGCTTAAATATTCATTTTTTTTTAAAAATCATAAAATGTTGTTGTAATAGAATTTTCTCACGGAACCCTTAGTTCCACGGAATACCATTTGGGAAACACTGACCTAGGGAATGAAAACGCTGCCTTCGCAAAAACGTATTTGCTCACCGGGACAACACCACCTCCCTTTTTTCCCCTTGCCCTCAGCAGCAGCTCTGTGCTGTTTGGGGTGCACTGGCCTACACATGCTATACCCCATGCTCAGCCCTGGGTAGCTATTTACCTGTACGTACTGGTTCTCCTGCACCATGACCTCATTGGACAGGACCTTGTTAATGGTGACCCGTTTTGTGTCCGTCCCAGAATAACCTACCCAGAGAAACAAAATCACCCATCAGATGAATGAAATGGCAGCCAAAGTAAGCAGCCTGTGATAGAATGTCCAGTTCTAGGTTCCAGGAGCCTTGATCAAGGTATTTAAAATTATGAAAAGAATGAGTCAAACCAAGCCCTTGGATCAGAAGACCCTGAACTCGGAATCTGCATCAGGTCCATGAATAATTGTAAAAGACACATGCCCTGATCCTGAAGTCAACAGAACAACTCCGCTGCAATTTCCACAGTCACCCAGGAGCCAGCCTTTCCGCTGCCGAGCAGCTCAGGAGATTGGGAGAGTCCAGTTCTGTCACCCTCCTACTCTGTTCCCAAGTCACCAAGGGTTCGTCTACTTGGGAAGTGAGAGGGGAGTCAGATAGGGTGTGACTTTAATGTGCATTAGCTGCTCTGGATTACCTCCTTGCGTGGATGCACTTTGTGCTAAGTGTGTCTTTGTGCAGGTTAACGTAACACACTTCCAAAGTGCTCACATGGGAGTTAGTGCCGGCTGGCTGCTCTAGCCTTTCTCCCCAAGTAGATAATCCACAAGGCCAAAGTTCCCAAATATGGCCTGTGATTTTGGGTGCCCGGCTGGTGATGCTCTGCATCTGATTTGCAAGGGTGCTGAGCGCCCAAGGTTCCTGCAAACTTCAGTGGGGGCCCAACTCAACGACTGAAAAATCACATGAGCAGGGCTGTGTCCTGTGGGAGAAAAATCAAATAACTCCAATTGTGTCTAAGGGGGGACTGTGCAGGAAATCAAAACTCTCTAAGGGTGTGTCTAGACTACATGCCTCTGTCGTCAGAGGCATGTAGATTAGACACATAGGCAAAGGCAAATGAAGCCGCGATTTAAATGATCGCGGCTTCATTTAAATTTACATGGCTGCCGCGCTGATGTCCTGTGGGAGAAAAATCAAATAACTCCAATTGTGTCTAAGGGGGGACTGTGCAGGAAATCAAAACTCTCTAAGGGTGTGTCTAGACTACATGCCTCTGTCGTCAGAGGCATGTAGATTAGACACATAGGCAAAGGCAAATGAAGCCGCGATTTAAATGATCGCGGCTTCATTTAAATTTACATGGCTGCCGCGCTGAGCCGACAAACAGCTGAGCAGCTGTTCTGTCCGCTCAGCGCGCTAGTCTGGACGCTCCCATGCCGACATCA